TATATATACATATATATACATATATGTTATATTAATACATAAATACATGAAGCAGTGGTATATATTATAATATTTATAACTTTATATATTTATATAACTTTATTTTCGCAAATTGCCTCTTAATAATTTTATTGTAAATTCAGATTATCAGCCTTTCCTTTTTAGCAATATTTCTGTGTTGTTAATACAAAAATTAAATAAACTATTAAACAAATAAAATTTTATATGAACTTGTAGTTTTAAAACTACAAAAGTTACAGCTAAATTTAGACATATACGCTGACCAATGCATCATAGCTCTTGGTATGAAGTTACATACATATAATTTTTTTATCTTAATGTTACTAATAAATCATATCATCTTCGAAATATATAGATCAAGAAAATCTACATAGTTTCCAAATACATATTTTTAAATTAAATAAAAGATGTATATAATAGCAATGTTAATAATGTGTATTTTTTTTCAATTTACATTGTTGAATAATTAGTAATACTCTAAGATAGGAAACTTTGTAGATCTCTATTTTCTTTGTCAATTAATCATAAATGTTTATGTATACATACATACATATATATGTATATTTTAATGTATATATTAATATTTAATATTTTATACTTAGAGAACTCTGACTTTGTCACAATAAACATCTATTTTGAAAAAGAAATTGTCACAAATAATTGACCTATACAAAAAATTATTACAGAAAAAATACATTTAAATCGTCTGAAACTTTAAAAAAATTTTGTGTATTTCTTACAAGTATTATAAGTCTTCCATTGTTATTTTTTATGTATTGATTTTTTAATGACTCATTTATATCATTAAATTCATAAAAATTACATTATATATGTATATTATACTGTTTATATTATTAAAATGTATATTGATAATATAGTTACACATGTTTGACTTCTTAAAATGTTTTTTAAGACGTTTTCAATTTTTTTATTATTTATTATATTAGGCTCAGAGACAAAGTTTTAAAAATAGAAATTTAAATTATAACAAAAAAATCTGCAAAAGATTTTAAAAAATTAAGCTCATAAATATTTTTTAATATTGTTGAACAAGTCTTGGATATTATTTAAATAAACTTTATATGAATAATTTAATTAATACGCTTATTATAGACATGAGACATTGCATGATTTTATTATAATGTAAGTTTATAGGGCACTCTGTTATATGATTATAGTTATAAACAAATTATTTTTCATTTAGGTACATATATAACTATGTATACATAATATATATAATATATATTTATGCCTCTGTGTATGTAGACAATACATACTTTGAATATGAACACTGCAGTTTATGGTACAAGGTACCATGACATTCTTTTTTGTAATAACTTGATTTTTAATCAAGTTCAAGCTCATAATATTGGGCAACATTTATTATAAGAAATACATTTTAATTATTAAATGCAAATGTTATTTTTTTATTGCCTTTATTTTGGCAAATTATTTAAATGAATTTTGATGATAGTAAAACTAAGTTAAATCATTTATTATGCATTATTTAAATGCATATCAATTTAATTTTTTATTTTATTCTTTCTTAGAATTATGAGTCTTTTAGATAAAGAGTGCCCTTTATTTCTTACAAAAGTAATTTTTGACTTGTTACAAATTACTGCGCTGTTTGCTGTTGAATTTCTATTTTTTCTACTGTCATATCAGGATTCATTGCTGTTGCCTCTTGAATTGCTTCTGCTAAAGCTCGATCATGATCAATTGGATCACCATCTGATTGTATTGTTATTTTTTGTTCTACACGAGTTTCTACAACTCCATCTCTTTCAGTTTTATACTAAAAATATTATAACATATACATTTAATCATATTATAGCTATAATTAATATATTAAAAATTAATAATTATATTAAAATTCGAAATCTTACCGTTATCGTTTCAACAGTACGAGTTTTACTAGATATTGTCTGAGAACTAACTATTTCTCCAGTTGCACTGTACATACCATCTTCACTTTCAACGGCTACTTTTCTAGTTTCAGTTGCTACTAATGGAACTGTAGTAGTAGTTGTTACATTACTCTCTGGTTCTCCTTTATAAACATGTGTTTCAGTTTCAATAACACCAGCTGGATCACCCTGAATTTAAATTTATAATATAATAATATTTTATTTTTCAGAAAAAAAATTTATAAAACATATTCAGTTATATAATATTGAATTGATACTGTACAGTTATAATTGTACATTATTATTATTTATAATTTTATATATATATTGTAAGTATATTATATATATTGTAAGTACAAATATGTTAAATAATACAAAGAACCAAAGCATTAATTTCTTGTTAAAGTATTATAAACCTTATGTTATTCTTACAAATGAATAATTAATACCTCAAAACCAGGGTCTTTGAAATAGTAATAAATAATTTAAGTAAATTAAGTTTTCTGTAATGATTGAATGTTATTTTGTATGTCCCTTTGAATATTAAGAAATGAATATTAAAGAAAGTATCAATTAAAAATATTTTTATCATTATTACAAGAATTTTTATGTTTTAGAAATGTTTGTACAGTAAACATATTTAAACATATACCTTGATGAAGATTCATCCTCAGAACTAAATTCTTTAAATTTTCAAAATCTTGTTTCTAAGAGAATATAATTTTTAACTGACTATAACAACCCTAAAAATTACCTGATAATATTGATTGTAGAAAGCCTGCTGATCATCTTCAAGGTCAATTGGAGTACCTGAATCATCACTGCTTGAACTGGATGTACTGAGCCTTCGTGAGAACAGCTACACCATGCATTGTGTTAACCAAGCCGAGAAAATTAATTACAAAAATAAAAAAAAAATAATTAAATGAAAAATAGCACTAATTAAATTTTATTAATCAACCAATATCCTAAATGAATTAAGTTTTATTGATGTAAATTATGATCCTTCATTTAAATAAATGATATTGTGATATGCATATTGAATGTGCATATGATCTTCTATATACATATTCATCTATATGTATATTGTACAAAAAATGTCAGAATTAAAATTAATATTATAAAACCAAAAGCTTCATTATGTTACGCGAATTTCCATCAATATTAAAGAAAATTATTTATATATGTGCAATGATTGTAGCATGAAATATTCTAATGATTTAATGTTAGGATCAAAAACACAATATGTGATTTACATAAATGCTACATGCTTCATCCATTAGTGGCTTGGCATATTTAAGCTAAATTATTACCTGTTCACCAGAAAGTACATGACTTGTTGTTCGAACTTCTTGAGTTACTACTCTCTGTTCTTGTCTTGTTGCACTGGTTGCTGTTGTATGTGCTACAGTTTTTTCCTCTACCTAATATAAAAAAAAATATAAAAAAATAATTCTAACTTTATAGGAAAATATTATATAGAAATATATAAAAAAATTTTAAATATTTGTATGAATAAAAAAATCATAATCAAGAAATTATTTAATCTAAAAAGAGAAACTTGTAATAATATTACAAACCTGACTGGTTTTTTGATTTTTTTCAAGATCCTCGTGCATTGTAGCAGTACGTGTAGTAACAGCAGTTGCTGTCATATATGGAGCTCTACCATCATCTGATGTCTCTGCCTAAATACAACTACAAGGTAACTAAGATCTTATAATAAAGCAGCAACATATATATATATATATATACAAAATTACAATAAATGCAAGAATTTGAATATTATTTTTTTAAGTATTTAGTTTTAAAATAATCAAAAATTTTTTTTATCTAGAAATCATATTTGCCACTTACATTAATGATACATGCAATATTCAATAACTAAAAATCATATAATCTACAATCTGCAATACATATCATAAAACTACTTAAGCTTAATATTATATCAATATTTGAATGTAATATATTGGAATTAATAAAAAAATTTTCAAAAGAATATGGATAGTATACATTACTTAAAAAAATAAAATTAAATAAAAAGAAATTATAATAATAAATTATAATAAAAAAAAAATAAAAAATAAAAAATAAAAAAAATAAAAAGATCAATTAATACTTTAAATTTTAAATTTTTAAATGGAATGCAAAAATAGTTAGAATGTTTAATATTTTTTCTTATACTTTTTAAAATTAGTGAAACAATTACATTATTATTTATTTATTTTAATAAATCTCAGATAATTGTGAAAGTTATATCACCTTATTAATTTGTGTAGAAACAGTTACTTGGCCTGTTCCTCCAGGTGTAAGATCTTCCACTTTCTCTTCTATATTTTGTATCACACCTTCTTGATCCTTTACTACTGATTGTTTGGTTGTTGTTTTTACTATTGTTGGAGTAGTGTTTGAAGATAAAACTTTTTTTGTTTTTGAAGAGATTGGTTTTAATACATCCCGTATATCCTTTAAAATAGTATAGTATAATATAGAACTAGAAGAATCAGTGAACAACAATGTCACAGAATCAAATCTATCTATGTGTTAGGAAAGCAAATAGAGCAATCTTGATTGATGTATAGAAAAAATGAAAAACACTTTTAAAAAATTGCTTAATTATATGTATTTTTATGATTTTAAAAAAATAAAAATTTTTTTAATTAAAAATCTGTTCGCGCTATGCGAACTTTCATATCATTTTATATCAAGACATTATATCATATAAAGTTCGAAATCGATAATCACTAATTGTTATAAATCAAAAAATTGTAAGTATTTTTAATTATATTTTTAATTATATATTGATGAAGATAATAAAATGATTACACACAAAAAAGAAATTAAATTTCTTTCAGGATTAAAACTTCTCATCTCAATTAGTTATTTCATCCCAATTTATGTTAAGAATAATAACAAGAAGATTCTAATTAATAATTAACCTTGATTTAAATATTCATTATAATATATATGGAATTTATCACTTTCAGATGATTCAAAAGTGATCGAAGATATAATCTACATAATAAATTACTAAATTAAAATAATCTCAAAAGATATTGTAAAATAACATAATAAAATGTAAAATAAAAAATTAATGAAAAATTTAATTAAAAATTAATTTTTTATATATGCAATTTATATTAATAATAAAATAAGTACAATGAAAAATCAAAATCTGTAAATCAGGAAATTTTAGCAAATGGACTTGGATTTTATTAAGGATGATATATTTATATAATTATATTAGAAAAAGAAAATAAAATTATAAAGAAAACTAAAAAAATAGTATAATATAAGTTATACTCAAACTACTTATTTAAAATCATACAATGCAATAATTTCATCAAGAAATAAAGAATTCATATAACTGAATCGTTGTATATTAATATAATACTATTTTGTACATATACATAACTTTGTATTAATATATGTATAATTGTTATTTAATTTAAATTAATTTAGATAAAATTATGATTTATATGCCAGTTAATATGTTAATTAAATCTTTTAAACTTATTAAAGATTGCTCCAGTTATATGAAATTTGTATTCTATAAGTTAAATTATAAATAATCGTGCTTCTAAATAAAAAATGTAATAAGAAAATAATTATTAAAATTAACAAAGGAAGGCAATATAATAAAATATGAAATAAAAGTAGTAATAAATTGCCAATATGGTAACAATAAAAAATAACATATTAATTACAAAAAGCAGTATTCTAAAATTTTTGCAAAAAAGATAAAAAACAGATATGAAATGAGAAAAAATTATTTATGATTTGTTTTAATACTATGATTTCATTTCTATTATTTGATATATATATATATATATATATCAAAATAAATAAAATATAGAATGAATAGTATATAGTATAATATAGTAATAGTATAATATAAATATGGAAAGTAATTTATATAAAATTTAAAAAATATATTATGATGAACAAAACTTAAATAATATAAATACTCAATTTTTTCAAATCAAGAGAATTCCAGAAATCTATGAATTGATAACATCTATATAATTTTTCTTCTAACTTTATAAAGTTTAAAGTATTATTACAAGCAGACGAACAAGCAATATATATAATTAAATCTACTTATCTGAATCTGATTATTTGAAAAATAGGTAATAAGGAGAATCAATAAACTCTTATTACATGAATGATTCAGCTATACAAATAGTTTATCCCTCGATGAGATCACATAAATATAATTCTTCTGTACTTACCTTTATTTTGTCTTTTTTTCTTTATCTTTTTTTTCTGACGTTTCCTTATCTTTTTTTTCTGACATTTCCTTGT